GTTCGGAACCACTAAAAATTGCAGTCATCGTTCAGTGTATTAGTCCTTTCAATATATTTATTTAAAAAGAAAAGCTAGAAATCCATAGGGTAACCAGAGATAGGTTGGGGCTGGGGTTGGGGACAGAAATTTATTCTGTGTCAAACATGTTTATGACGAGTTCCCTAGGCTGATGCTAGGGAACAAAAGGCTCATTCTTCAGTTCCCAGAATGAGGATTAACAGTGAAACAGCCTTGCGTGGTATTGTCCTGCAGCATCAGATAATTTTTCATTAAGGCTTTTCACAGGATGATATATTCCACCATACAGGTGCATCTATTTCAGTGGTGGATGAAACATCTATCATTTATATACAATTTTTAAAATGGCATTCTATGAACAAAAGGCAACAAACACAAACGTGACCCTGTTATTATCCTACTGGTCAACCACCAGAGGGATCATCCACATCTGAGCTTATCTCCAGAAATCATTTTATTGATAAGTTGCTCTTGTCTGTCTCTGACTCTGTCCATGTGGCTTAGAACTGTCATGTGTGTCCAGGGACAGTAACCTACCAAAGGCTATGCTTCTTGGAAGTATCCCTGTGAATAGAATGGATTTGTGAGACCATTTTTTCCCTTCATGTAGTATTTTCATTGTCATCTAATTTCCTTACAATAGGATACTGTGGATATATTGGAAGAAAAATTGGAAGTCAAATGGCAAATAATATAAATATATTAAACTTGGAATTCTGTAGATGCTTGTTAGCCATACCTCCCCCAAATAAAAAACAGTTTTTCCTGCTGCTTCTTGGGACAGCGAGATAAAAGATTATTGAATAAATCAGCAAAAATATTGGCCTTTAAAAAAATGGAAAGTTGCTTATGTTTTCTGCTTTGATTTATTTTTCGGGGGCAACAGAGGCCAGTGAAGCCTTTCTAGATTGTCATTTGGTGCCATTTTTAATAGTCCAATTGAAATATAAGTTTTAGAAGGGGACGGGTTCAGTTTGGAAAAAACACATGTTGACTCTGTGGATTGTTTGTTCACTGTAGTTGCCGACTTGTTCTAGAGACGAGGCTGCGTGTTCATCTCCTTTGTCTCCAGGATTGATTGACGGATGTTGTGTCTGCTCACTTACGGCGTTTTTCTTGGTTAATTTAAAAAATTGTGACATAGTATTACATGTGCCTTGTATACATCATTTTTGCAAAAGAAAGTTGTTTAGCCAATATGTCGACTTGGTTTATGAAATCCTCTGCGTAGCTTTCATTCAGCCTTCAGTGTTCTCCATTAGGTCATATCATTCGTTTCATGCACGGCAAATCGTCACCAGCAGCAAAATTTAACATTTGGTCCTTTTAGGTATAAAAATGAATCAAATGCCTGACAAGATTTGTTTCTGGTATATATTTCAGAATCTCCCCCAATGCCCTCCCCCCACCCCCCAATCTTTATGGGCATACGACAAATGTTACTAATGGGTACTTTTAGTTTTTAAAATATGGACAACAGTACTCCATGCAGTAAAAGACTTGAGCGATTAATGCTACCCTCATGCCTCTTTTGAGTAGTTTTAGCCATGAGGCTTGGCACTGCCACCATTGTCTTTGTGCCAAAAAGTATCCGCAGCGGCTGTCGCATTCTAGTACTGGAGGGTTGTCTCGAAAATTCCGCAGTGAACGCGCGCCGGGTTTGTTCATCGCTGCTATCTGTTTTAAATATTGGAAAAATAGAATCTTTAGCTCTTTCAAAGCTCCGTTGTGGTTGTGGGGCTCGGGGGGAGGTGGGTGTTGAAGAATGGAGAAAGCAGGAAAGAAGCTCTCCGCGCCAGCCAGTTGGTATAAGTGACAAAAATCCACCCCTGACATAAGAGTAAACACAGATATTTAGGAGCTTTTGTGTTCATGAGCACAGATAGTTACTTAAGGATCCTACTCAAACATGTTATCAGCACTCTTGAAATTTTTATTATCTGAAACAAATGTTCCAGTGAATTTTAAGCAGAAAATCAACATCAAGACCATAGCTAATTTTTAATGGACAATTTACACAAAAGATTTTTTTTTTTCCTAGAAACTGAGGTGTTATTATAAAATGGCTGCTTTTGAGCATTAAAAAGTGATAGGAATCTATATCTCAGGTTTGAGAAGGTACTTGGGCTTTATCCACATTCCCTGATTATTTTGCTCCCAGACAGGGGTTTGGGCTCTCTGAGGGCAGATTTATAGTTGAATTTGGGAACAAAAAGATGTAATAAAGTTAAAGGCTTACACTATCACAATGAAATGTGTTCGCTCATGATCTCTGGAGCGATCTATATGATGGTAAAAGTGGATGCTACAGATAAAATCTTTACAAGGAGCATAATCCTAAAAAAAAAAAAAAAAAAAAAAAGTCCACCTCCCAGCCTCCTGCTGGCTGCACTGCCTCTTTGGTACCTCGCAGACTTCGACAGAGTCCTGGACGGGTGCCCATTGATGTCATGGAAACACTCAAATTACTGAGAATGATTCATGTCTATGCTGGTCTCTTATCCTCCCCCACACAAACAGGAGTAGATTTTTAACCCTGACAACTTGTAATTTGCAGTGGGTTTATTTTTGTATCTGGATAAATATTTTTTAACAAGCAAAATTAAGATTAAGCAGTCTGTATCTGATATGATAGTAAAGAATGCTGGGTCCATGTAGCCAAGAGCACTTTGGGGACTGAGCAGCGTGAATTCATATTCTTCTCATCTCTCCCTCCTCCCTCTCTCTCCCCCTTGCTCTTTCCATTCCGTTCTTTTTCTCTTTCTCTCCCATTTTCCCTCTCTGTCTGTCTGTCTGTCTGTCTCTCTCTCTCTCTCTTTTTTTAAATCCTTACTGTTTGCACTGCCCTTCTAGCTTTAAAATAAGGGAAGGAATAGCCCCAACTTATGTATATGAAGTGGGGCAAATCCTGGTAGGAAAATTCCTCCCTCCAGTTCTGTGTGCTGGAGATGAGTTGAGAAATAAAGCTGGTGGTGAAATTCTACAGGAGATAGCTTCAGGAACTCCTTCCAGTGAAAAAAATAAGTGCCCTTTCTTCCTCAAACTGTATTTTACAGTTCAATTCTTAGAAATGACCAAAATAGGACACTAGATGCTCAATTTCCTATGAAGTCAGAGCAAATTCTGCTTTCTGTCTCTCTGTCTGCCTGCCTGCCTCCCTGCCCACCTGCTATCACCCTGTTAAACAAGTGAATATTATGTCAAAATGAATTATGTAGGGTTTGTATTGAAGCTTTTTTGGATGCAAGAGCTTAAGGAAAAGACATGCGTCCTTTGATAGCTCATAAAGGTCAAGCTTTTTCTGTTAATAATATTTATAGAGTGAAGTTAAAGGGTATAAGTAGCTTAAATTTGACTTACACAGATGAGTAAATATGGCTGTATGACCATTCACGCTGCTGATACAGGTAAATGTGTCTTTTCTTCAATGTAAAATCCTCATACAATGAAAGTTGTTCTCTTAGATCTCCCAAGACTGACAGTCTGTGCAATGTGATTGTCTCACTGAAATTGAAACTGATATGGGCATCGATTTTATACTTTGCATCGAACACTATACCAGAAATGGGGGTTGGGGGTGTTTTACCAAGTTTGAGATTCATTGACGGTAGTAGCAAAGTTAATACTGGGAGCGAAAGGGTTAATTTTAAGACTCAGACTTGGCTTTCTTCAAAAATCACCATCTATTTTATTATATAGTGACTTAGATACAGGGTTCCCCTCTGGCCAGATCTAAAATTCATCTAAGATACTTCCTTTGTGTGGTGTCAGGAAGGCATCCTCTAATAACATTGCCATTGACCTAAATGATAAAAAGATTATTGTTACTTTTAGCATTAGTGTTAAGTTGGGTTGAGAGGGGGCATTCGGGGGTTGTAAACCTTAGAAGGATATCTAGCCTCTCAAAGTACAAGTTTTGAGTTTTCCCATCGGAAAAAAAGAATAGTATAGTCCTACGTAGAAAATATCATGTACCGTAAAGCTCTAGTTCTGAAAAAAGAAGCATTCTCCAGTCTTGGGCGTGGTGGGGTCCTGCGCACTGGGCTGCCTTACTTTCCCTTTGTAATGTTCTGCTATGGACAGTTCCTGGTATGGAGAGTTTTCTGTGACGATTCTTCATATGTCACTATCTGGACTCTACTGCGTTACATCTCTTGTATGATTTCATTGTCTTCCTTGCTGATAATTAGGGCTAAACATACTTTAAAAAGAAACAAATGAGCAGCCTTGATTTTATGCTTAGATGTGACCAAGTCACACTGAAGCCTGTCTATATCTCTGTCGAGCAGACTACAGATAAAAACTGGGTTGTTAGAATTAGAACATGACATTCACATCCTGTCCTCCCTTGTCCTGCCGGGTCTACTGGTGGAATCTGAACCTGGGTTCCGAGTGGGCAATTTTTCAAAAGCCCTCTTTCCCAAATGTAAATTCCATCATCATCTTGATCATGATGGGATTTACTCCTGGGAAAGGGAGTTTAAAAAGAGAGAGAGAGAGACTCAGAATTTTGAATAGTTTCTTTGCTAAATTCACCATCTGGAGAGCCTGTGATTGATTAGCTTTGGCCTCACCATTAAGTGTCAATATAATCAATGGGAATTGCTAGGCTAGGGTCATTACATAGATAATTTGCCTGCTGTGTAAATAAAAATGAAATTGTTTAAATTTTGGGAGAGAAAGAAAGTGAAAATCAGGAATGACAATTTGTTTGTTAGAGAAAGTGGAGGCCATTGGAATGACAGTTTTTGGAAGTGTGGAGCAGTTTGGCTAAGAATAGGAATGAAGGATATTTTTTTCCAGTTTATCATAGCCAGAGTGAGGAAGTGTTATTCCCTCTCTTGCTTGCATACATTGCCAGTAGTGCCTACTTACGTATGTAAACATCGGGGAAGAGAAGTAGATGTCTGTTACCTGGAGGAGATTTTTTTTTTAAAGGAAAGAGACAATTTACACTTTTCTGTCGTTTCTCTTGGCAGGTAAAACAGAAAGGGGCTCATACTCATCTTATGGGAGAGAATCAAACTTACAGGGTTGCCACCAGGTAAGTGAGAATCTGCGGTGTGGAAGGGTTGAGAGGATTAACTTGGTGTATGTTTGTTTTCTAAATTCGATTATGCATTTTAAACGGTGACACTAAGATGCACTGGAAAGTCCGCTGATGACTCCTCTTTAAGTAATGAAATAACACAGAGCTTGGAACTAATAAGCACCTCATCTTTAGCTCTCGGCCGTATCAGAACTGCATTGACTGGCTTGTTTTTATTTTTTAAGCCATCAGCCGGTACCAGTGGCACTGTTTGCAAACCAGCAATGTCGGTTAAAGTGGTTCTATCAAAAGAGTTTATTTGCAATTAAGAACTTAGGAATTTCTTACACAGGAAATACTCCGTGGAGCCGTGTGTCAGACTCTGGGTTCGGGTGGCTATTGCCCTAAATTATAGTTTTCATAGGGACTGTGTGATGTTGTGTGAAAACAGGGTTGTACTGAGGGATAAAAATGTCTGTGAAAATATGATTTGTTGTCCCTTTTTGTTTCTGAATTGTTTTTGGCTGGAAGTCAAGGCCAGCAGGCTAACAGCAAAGCCGTCTCGAGGGAAGCATGCGTGAGCTAGAAAAATAAGAGTACTTTAATTAAATAATAAAATGCCAGTGTAATACAAAGGTATAGCATGTGTGTGTTTGTGTCTCTGTGCACTCTGCATTTGTATACCTTTAACTCTCCAGAGAGAGCCCATTTCTAAAAATACTATCAATAGCTAAAAGCCTAAGCTTTGTTTTAAGACAATTGAGTTTTTATAGATGCTTTCTTTTTCATTTCGGTATCGGTATTAATCACAATATTTTAAATCTTTTAAAAAATTTCTACTTCCTTTTTATAAGTGCATTGCTTTCTTTGAAAAACTCTTGATAGAATTTAATAATCCCCTTTAATATTCAGAGCTCTCTACTCTTTTATTATTCACCCAAACAGAATGTACTTTCTTTTTTTATGCTGGAAAGAGGATGCTGTCTCTTGAACTCTCTCACCCTCCCATTTTCTTTAACGGTATGGGAAGGGAAAAATTCTATTTTGTTTTTTTTTGAACAATCCTTTCATTGTATTTCTGAAAAATGTAAGCAAACTTTCGTTTTTACTAATTAAACAGACCTATGAGAAAAGTTTCCTTTAGGTATCAGACATAGAAAGGTGGAATTCTAAGTGGGTTGGTTTGTTTATTTTTTTCCTGTATATATTTGCATTTTTAAAGTTCACTCCTTTGGCCCAGCCACCCATTCAGTCATATTCAGCATCGAAAAGATTTGTTGCAATGAGGTGAACAGTGCTTGGTTAAGAACTCCTGCCGGAGTGCAGTTCATGGCAGTTTGTTTGGAAAGAATTCTGCAGGAAAGAAATTTACAGCCATTCCAGCGCAACGGAAACATCTTTGGAATGTGAGTGCAAATGTTCGGGCTAGATAGCCTGGGCCACAAGCCTCTTAGCGCCGTGTCTCTGGTGTAAAGCTCTCAATTCCTGCAGAAGAGCGTGTTCCTGTGGATTTGGTTTCGGAGGGTCAAGGCGGAGGTCATTAGAGTTTTGGGGAGAAGAAAGTTGACAACATCCTTCCTTTTTGCAGATGGTCATGGCAGAGGTCTCTGTTTTCGCTGGCCCCCTTTTTCTGGTCATTGAGAGAATAGGCTTTCTCGCCCCTGTATCCTTTCTTACTAATAGGAATTGGCGTGATTCCTCACAGACACAAAGATTTCCTCTGCTGAGTAAGCGTGAGGCCCCTTAACTTGTGAAAGCATCATCCAGACTGTGTGAGTCTGTCTGTGTGTGTGCAGAACACAGACCCTCCTCCCTCCGTTTGTGGGGAATACTTCCCTCGGGTGACACTGAAGTTAATTTTTTTTTGCAAACACAAGGTGAGAAGTGGAAGGGGCAGAGGGTGGGATAGAGGTGGACGGATTGGCGTAGGATGGCTGAATTTCTGGGCCTTGGGAGGTTCATTTTGAGACATTCATGTCCAGGAAAATTCTTCTGTATGTAGGAATATGACTGCATATGCTTTTCTTAAAAAGCCTTCGTAATATCGCTGTGGAGTGTGGAGATTCCTTCATTCTTATTTCTGCTTCATGGTTGTGAGTCTTGCAAGATTCGGCTATCTCTATGCTTAGCGTGGGCTCAGCAGTCTCCATAAACAGTGTGATTACTTAAGGATAAATAAAAGCGAAATTTTGGAAATTCTCTGATAGAGGAAATAGGGGCTGAAGAAGAGAAGGGTACATAGTATGAATTTCTGCTTTCTGTGAAATTTGAGAATAGAATAGACCATAGTGTGTCTTCCAGGGAATCAGTTTCTCTTGTGCCGTATTGTTCTTTGAATCCCTGTCTACAACACCAGCTATGCAAACCAAAGAGAAAGGCAAAAATCTCGGTGTCTTGGGCTTCAAGTCTAAATAGCAGATCACAGCTGAAATGATTCCCCACTGTGTGACAAGGTGAGTGACTCTCAGGGAGGGGAGGCTTTTGTTTTCTTCTGCTAACTACAAGCTGAGATGCTGGATAGAAAACCTTTAGATGATGTCTCCTAAGGCACTCCAAAAGCTGCTTTATCATATTATAACACCGTATCCTATGGACTTAAAGGCATGAGCAGTGTTATATGGGAACATGCTTATTGCAGTCCCAATAGCCTTTTGTTTGGTGTAGAGAAATAGTGGTGGTAAGCAACAGGTGGTAAAATGCTGTCCTGGAGGAATAAATTATTATTGTGAGATGTATATTGTTTCAAAAATGCATCAAGTTTAGAAAAATAGCTACATATCCATTATGTCTCTCTTAAGAATTTAACACTAATAGTGATAGACATATGGCTTTTTAAAAAATGGATATTTTAGCAGGAAAAAAAAGCTGGCAGATTCTTTATTATCAATTAAGTTGTTTTCATTAAAAACAGGTATGGGATAATATGGATTCATTAATTCATTTCCCTGTGAAATTATCAGAAAATAAACAAGGTGACTTGTTTGAGACTTTTTGAATTTTATAGAAAATGAACCAATAGACAAACAAAAGCGGCCAAATGAACTTTTTTTTAGTTCTCACCAAATATGGCAAAACTAATTTAAATCAAATTGGGGTACGGAAATCACACCCAGGCTTAAAATGTTCTTGCCAAATTGCAACCTCATACTACTTTTACTGGCAGAGAAAATAAAATTTATAATGGAAAGTCTGACAGAGACAAAAACGAGTAGGAATAAACTTTTTTCGCAAGACAGTCCAACCTTAATACCATGATAGCCAATAGCTAATACCTAATGGGCATCATTGCAGATGACGGAAGGGAAAAAAATGTCCTTTGCTTCTGGCCTCTTTTGCTGCTTTGAGTAGGATGTTTAGTGATTTGCAAACTTTTTTTTATTTTGCCAAAATCTACTGTTTTTGAATGATATGATGATATTAACACAAATGCTTGTTATTGAGGGGCAGAAGTTTTCCCCTTAAATGGAAGTATGGGATTGATTGTTAGGAATTGTTTTTGTTTTCTTTCTGGGATTTAGCCCGAATCTAAAGCTATGGTTTCATTATTAGTATCTCCTGGGTGAGATGGGTGGGTGGGTAGGGGTGTCTGTGTGTGTGTGTGTGTGGCATACAGAAAGCTGGGTCTTATCCGAAACCAATCAAATTAGAATCTTATGAGTTGGGCCTGTGCTTTTCTGACAACCCCCCAGGTGATTCTAAGGTTTGATCATTTCCTAGAATGTTCTATAGAAATATACTCTATTTTAACGACTTGTGTTCCAAATCTGGCCTTACTCCTGACCTTGAAAAAGCTTTCAGACTGCTTGCATGAATTCAGTTATTTAAGGCATGGAAATATATTGCGCATGAACTTTATTTAAGAGGCAGTGAAAATTAGCAATATGTTGAAAATCCGTAAGGTGCCTTGAAATCTTTATGCAGAATTCCACAACTGAATGTCCCAGCCCATATCTTGTTTTCTCTGGTGAAGTCCAAGGCTTTAACCTCATTCAACTTTTTTTTTTTTCTTAGTAAGTGATCAGAGAGAGCTATGCTGATAAAGTTATTTGATGTTTAGATCTTAAAACCGACCGATGAGATTTAAGAATTAAACCTAATCTAGAAAGACTGTTCTTAAATTCCAGAAACTTTGAAGCTATAGAGGAAACGGGTCTTCTATAGATATGTATAACTTAGTTTGCCCATAAGCCTGTTCGTTTTTGATTCATTGGAATTAAACATGTATTTGATTCTGAAATGAATTACACATTTGAGAACTGATTTTTTTCTCTTATTTTATTTTTGATCCAAAAGGTATTATAAGTAACTTAATTCTAAAACTTTTGGCCTCCTTAAATTTTTCTTATCTAAAGTCAAAACAGAAAGGATATAAGCAGAAAAGGCACAGCATTCTTTTGTCTATTATGACAATGGCAATTTAGGCCTTTTGTAAGCAAAAATACACGTTGTTTTTTAATTTGATATGATGCTTAAATGTTTGTTCTTAGTTCTCAGTAAATCAGTCCAGGTCCTATGCGTTCTTCCCGGAAACCTCTCTCTTGCAGGCACCCTGTTACATACTGCTTGAGCACTCTGCTTTCCCTTCACGATGCTTTTTCAAATTTGCCATTATTTGTGTGTTTGTTAAATGCTGGTTTCTGTAGAATTCTGTAAACTCCTGGAGGGCAGGGGCCATGTCTGCTTTATCTCGTGCTGAGTACCATGTGCCCAGCAGGGCAAAATTGTGGTGACCTAATGTTTATTTCCTCAGCATCACTTTTGGAAATCATTTCGAGGGAGTTAAGTCTGAACAGTAATGTATTTGAACCATATCACGAGCATCTTTTTTTATACCTATAAAAACCAGAAAACCTTACTCTCAAAAAAAGTCCTCTGGAAGCCCTTCCTCCTAACGTGCTGTGCAGGCCCTGGAAGGACACAGAGGTTATACAGAGAGACACACACACTGTGACTTTTGAGGGGCTGAATGTTCACTTGGTGGCTTCGTCGTCTTAGGCCTGTGCATCCAGAAAGGC